CAGATTGATCCATAGGGTTTTCAGTGGCTGATTTTTAGAAAGTAGACTTGGATTTCCAGGCCTTTCTTCCTAGGTACCTCTGGCTGGACTCAAACGTCCAATTTTTCAGTTAGCAGATGGTCACATTAATTGCTTGCACCACTCAGGGACTCCCCACATAAGCTGTTGTTGTAGTTGTTGCATATCATTGAGTCAGTTCCAACTTGTAGCAACCCTGTGTAGGGCTTCCTCTGGTGGGTTTGAACCACCGACCTTGCAATTCAAACCGACCTTGTGATCTAGTGCATTATCCTGGACTCCCCACATAAGCTGCTGGCCCCCAAATGTCCTTGTTTCTGGGGCTACTTCCAGTGAACCCCATTTACAACACTGCAATAAAAGGCTCCCCACCACTTCCAGGAAAACGTTGATGCATTTTGGGGGAGAAAACAAATTGCCTCTTGCTCCCTGTCAGCTGTGGACCTGGCTGCTTCCATGAGCAGACTGCGACATTTGCAGTTGTGTATTAATTGCAGCTTTTTTTGAGGGGAACGCGATGCTCTCCTGCAATATGTGTGTGTGAGAGAGAGAGAGAGCGAGTGAATGAGTGTATGTTTAATGACTTTCTCATTTTGAGATCGGGCCAGATAGCTTTTTGAAGAAAGTCTGCCCAGAGCCTGGAACATATAGAAAATTCTCCTGGCTTTAATAGTACTCCTACTCACCGCCCATCCATCACAGACGCACTGTGGAATGAAAACCAAGCACATTGATTGGATCTATTTCTAATCGACAGTCTAAGATACTGCTCGAGATGTGCCATTAGATGGGAAAAATTGGCATGGGAGTGGCTGCCTCTTGGGTCTCAAGGGCGTGGGGTCTGTGAAAGAAGAGAAGGAATCACGGCAGCATTCAGCAAACATTGATTGAGCACCTACTGTGTGCTCAGAGTGGATACAAAGGTTTAATGCACTTGGCTCCTAACTGAAAGGACAGCCCCGGTAATCTGCCTTCCGAATGATCAACCTTTGAAAATCCCATGAAGCGCAGTTCTACCGTGACACATGTGGGATCACCACGATTCCTAAATGACTTGAAAGCAACTGTTTGTTGTTGAAGCTCTGGTAGCGTAGTGGTTACGAATCAGGCTGCGAACCTTAAGGTCAGCAGTTCGAAACTACCAGCCGCTTTGTGGGAGAAAGATGAGGCTTTCGACTCCTGTCAAGATTTACAGCCTTGGAAACCCTGTACAGGGTTGCTATGGGTTGGAATCGACTTGACGGCACTTAACAACAACAACAACAGTTAATATATATATATATATATATAAGGAGCTCTGGTAGCGTAGTGGTTACGAATCAGGCTGCGAACCTTAAGGTCAGCAGTTCGAAACTACCAGCCGCTTTGTGGGAGAAAGATGAGGCTTTCTACTCCCGTAAAGATTTACACCCTCGGAAACCCTGTACAGGGTCGCTATGGGTCGGACCCGACTCAACGGCACTTAACAACAACAACAACAGTTAATATATATATATATATATTACACTTGATCTTAGCTAAAAGGAATCGAAGCAATGCCACTCCATGGGAGAAAGATGAGGCTTTCTACTCCCGTAAAGATTTACACCCTCGAAAATCCTGTACAGGGTCGCTATGGGTCGGAACCAACTCAACAGCACTTAACAACAACATATATATAAAATGCATGGATTTTATTAACAGCAATTGATTGTCACCTAGTTCTGGAAACTAGAAGTTGACGTTCTCTTTGATGACTTAAGGAAAAGACCCTTCTTGGGCTGGTGGCTGCTGCAGACTGGTCACTTCCTTCTGTGGCCATCTTCTCCTTGTGTCTCTCCACTTTTATAAAGACATCACTCATATTGGATGGGGAGTGCCAGTGGCTCCAAAGAATAAGCACTAAACTGCAAACTACAAGGTCCGTGGTTCGAGCTTGTCATCTGCTCCACGGAAGAAAGATAAGGTTTTCTGCTGCAGTGAAGATTTAAAGCTTCAGAAACCCTATCAGTTGGAACCAACTCAATGGCACTTAACAACAACACATTGGTTGAGGACCCACCCTGCTCCTGTCTGACCTCCTAAAAATGGTTAACATCTTTAAAGACCCTATTTCCAAACAAGGTCATGCTCACAGGTTAGATCAGCAGAGCTTTGGGGGAGAACAATTCAATCCATAGCAGAGCCCAGAGCAGGTGGAAGCAGGGCTGAGGGTGAGAAGTAGGCAGTATGGGGTATGTTTGGAAGATGGAGCTACAGGAAGTTGGGAGGAGGTGTGAGATGGGCCGGATATGGATGGAAGAGAAAGGATGAAGCAGGTCACTGGGTTTACACACCTGTCCTCCAAGGTCCTCACTCCACCTGCAAGTCTCCATGGCCTTTCTCCATACCTTCACACTATATGGTCCTACTCAGGGGCACCCCAACAAGGAGCCTTGATGGGGGGTACATGGTACTTTCTGAGTGCAAAGGCTGAGGTAACATTGGGTAAAAACACTCCATCTCAGTAGCGATTCCCCCACATGCTTTGGCTTACAAGGTGCAGATGTAATACCTGCTTTTAAATTCAATTAAGTTGACTCAGTTCTGCTCCTGGAATACATTACCCAGCCGGAGACAGCAGGGGAAAAAAAAGATGGGAAAAAAACACACACAAAACACAACACAGACCTATTTAGAGATTTCCCTCTAAATGGATTTTAATTCTCTCGATTTATCAGGGGCCAGAGGAGCTGCTGACAGCCAGTGTTCGGCATCTGCGAACCCAGTTTCAGCCACAGGGAGGGGAGAGAAGGCACTGAGTCTGGGCTCCAAGATTCCATTCTAGTGGGGGACTGAGGGTCACTCCAACTTGGTTTTAGATCCCAGCTTTGCCACTCACTGACTGCATAACCTTGGGCAAAGTAATGACCCCCTCCTTTGTAAAATGGGGACAATAACTGTGTTTCTCTCAAAGGGCTCTTGTGAACAATGACCCACGTTACCCAAGAGGGTTCAGGTTAAGCCCTTAGCATGATGCATGGTATGTAGTGAGTATTTGGAAAAGTCAGGGATGGTGGTGGTGATAATGGAGATAATGATGGTGATAAAGGAGATGATGGTGATGATGTTGGTGATGGAGATGATGGTGATGATGTTGGTGATGGTGATGATGTCGGTGATAATGGTGATGGAGATGATGTTGGTGATGGAGATGATGGTGATGATGTTGGTGATGATGATGATGGAGATGATGGTGATGATGTTGGTGATGGTGATGATGTTGGTGATGTTGGTGATGATGATGATGGAGATGATGTTGGTGATGGTGATGATGGAGATGATGATGGTGATGGTGATGATGTTGGTGATGGTGATGATGGAGATGATGGTGATGATGTTGGTGATGGTGATGATGTTGGTGATGATGATAGAGATGATGTTGGTGATGGTGATGATGTTGGTGATGGAGATGATGTTGGTGATGTTGGTGATGGAGATGATGGTGATGATGTTGGTGATGGAGATGATGGTGATGATGTTGGTGATGTTGGTGATGGAGATGATGGTGATGATGGTGATGATGTTGGTGATGGTGATGATGAAGATGATGTTGGTGATGGTGATGATGGTGATGATGTTGGTGATGGAGATGATGGTTATGATGTCGGTGATGTCGGTGATGGAGATGATGACAATGGTGATAATGGATATAATGATGATGGTGATAACGGTGAGGAGGAGGAGGAGGGGGAAAGGAAGATAATGGTGATGATGGTGGTGATGACAGAGATGATTAAAGTTATCATTGTTGACATTACCTTCCATCTGGAGGCCAGCCCTGTCACTGTGTTGTTGTGTTGCTGTCTACCACTGAGTTGACTCCCAACTTACAATGGCCGTGTGCACAGCAGAACTAAACACTGCCCAGTCCTGTTGCCATCCCCATGATGCATTGCAGATTGGACAACTGTGGTCCATGGGGTTTTCACTGGCTGATTTTTGGAAGTAGATTTCCAGGCCTTTCTTCCTAGTTACTCTTAGTCTGGAAACCCCACTGACACCTGTTTAGAATGTAAGTTATACATTGATAAGAAGAAGGGAAAGGGGCACTGAGAGATAAGGCAAAGGCAGAAAGAGACAGCGAGAAATAAAAAGAGGGTGAGAGACACAAAAGTGAGAGAATGATACAGACACAGAAAGATGAGGGAAGTCAGGCTCAGAGTTTAACCTGAATCTTTCTGGGTAACATGGGCTACTGTACACAAGTCTTCTGAGCAAAAACACGAAATTGTCCCCATTTTACAGATGAGCAAACTAGAGTATAATTCTTTTCCCACTGACATACAGTGAAAGAGACAGACTAGGAGAGATTGATCTTGAGACAGAATTAGAGATGGTGGAGAGAAATGAATTTCAGGGCAGAAAGATTGGGAAAGGAGAAAGTTGGGAAGAAATGCTGTAGGAGAGGGAAAGGAAGAGCAAGAAATAGGCAAATGGCCCAAGAGAGGGGAGGGAGGGAACAACAGGGGAGGCCGGTAAGCCAGGAGCTGCCGTCACACGTGAACATGTCCTTAATTGTAATTACACAGGAACATTTAGTTTGTAGATGCAGCAGAAATGAAAACGCTGCTCGTTGCCCATTAATCTAATGGCTGTTCGTCAATCACTCTTCAAAAGGGGCTCCGGCTGTGGCTGCGTAGGGGGTGGCCTGCGGGGAGCGGATCTGAAGAGAAGGTTTTTAACTAATGATGCCCTCAGGGAGAACCTGTGGGGCAGTCCCCGGAGCCACAGAACTACAACAAAAGTCCTGGCTGGTGATGTTAGAGCCCTGCAGGCAGGCTACCAGCCCAGAGGTCAGCAGTTGGCCAGTAGGAGTTGTAATCTGCCAGGCTGGTTTAGAGGAGATACAGTGTATCCAGTGGGATCTAGTAGTTTTGTAAGTCACCCTGCCTAGTGGCAGAATGCAAGGTTTCCTAAAAGGGCTGGTATCCAAACTGTGCTTAGACATATAAATGGAAGCAGGCAAGCAAGAAGGAAGGAAGAAGGACCTTCCAAATAGAGAGAACAGCTTGTGCAAAGGTTAAAAAGGAAATAAGCTGGCAGCTAATGGAGGGTGGTTAGGAGCCTTGGTGGTGCAGTGGATTAAGTGTTGGGCTGCTAGCAGAAAGTCTGGCAGTTCAAGACCATCAGGCATTCCAAGGGAGACAGATGTGGCAGCCTACGTCTGGCAGTTTAGGCCATCAGGTATTCCAAGGGAGACAGATGTGGCAGCCTACGTCCTTAAGGTTCGTTTGTTATTGCTAAGTGCTATCAGGTCAGCTCTGCTTCATAGCGACCCTATATAGGGTTTCTAAGGAGCAGCTTGTGGGTTTGAACTGCCGACCTTGTGGTTAGCAATTCAGTGCTGATCCTACAGCGCCACACCAGCAGCCTTGGAAATCCTATGGGGGCAGTTCTACTCTGTTCTATAGCGTCCTCAGTACTCAACAGCTAGAGTAGGGTTGAGTATGGAGTCTGTGAATGTAATGACAGGTGGCAGGGGTGACCTGAGAGCAATTAGGAGCCTTCAAGAGTTTACAATGGAGAGACCCAGGTCAGATTTATGTTTTTAAAAGCTATCTCTGCCTGTGAAAGTAGATTTGGGGGCTAATCGTAAGATCTTTTCCAGCTTCTAAAACAATGTGCCCCAGGTCCTTGGTCTGCAAGACTAAACAGTTCAGGGAGTCCTTGTCATTGTTGCTAAGTGTTATTGATTCCGTTTGGATGCATAGCAATCCTGTACAGCGGTTCCGAGGAGTGGCTGGTTGGCTCGAACCGCTGACCTTGTGGTTAGCAGTAGAGTGCTTATCCTGCAGCATCACACCAGGGTTCCCTAGGGGGCATGTACCAACATCAAATGGAATCTGGAATTACACTTTTCAGCCAGAAGGTGGGAGGGGAGGGTGCAGATAGAGTGGGAAGTGCTACTAATGCACCTGGGGGACAGACTTGGACCATCTGCCCTGAGACCCTGAGGAGTGGAGGGTGTGGATGAGTCAGGGACACAGACGCCTGGAGGAGGCTTGAGTCAGCATCCAGTATATACCTCTTCCTAGGGGTGACTCACTCATTCATTTGGCTTAGAGCGTGGAGACCTGGTGGGGATGGTAATGGAAGGAAAAACCACCCCACTATCCCGCTCATCTCTGCTGAGATATTTGGGAGATAACTATCTGGCCAACTGATTGGAAGAGATCCATATTTGTGCCCATTCCAAAGAGAGGTGACCCAATGGAATGTGGAAATCATCAGACAATCTCTTTGATATCCCATGCGAGTAAAGTTTTACTAAAGGTAATACAGAAACAGCTGCAATCATACATTGACAGAGAACTTCCAGAGGTTCAAGCCGGATTCAGAAGAGGCCGTGGAATGAGGGATATCATTGCTGATGTCCAATGGATCTTGGCTGAAAGTATAGAATACCAGAAAGATGTTTACCTGTGCTTTATTGATTACGCAAAGACTTTCGATTGTGTAAATCATGAAAAGCTATGGACAACATTGTGAAGTATGAGTATTTCGGAACACTTAATTGTGATCATGAGGAATCTGTACATGGACCAAGAGGCAGTTGTTCGAACAGAACATGGGAACACCGAATGGTTTAAAATTAAAAAAGGTGTGCGACAAGGTTGTATTCTTTCACCATACTTATTCAACCTGTATGCAGAGCAAATAATTCAAGAAGCTGGGTTATATGAAGAAAAACATGGCACCAGGATTGGAGGAAGACTCATTAACAACCTGTGATATGCAGATGATACAACTTTGCTTGCTGAAAGTGAAGAGGACTTTAAACATTTACTGATGAAGATCAAAGAGCACAGCCTTAGGTATGGATTGCATCTCAATGTAAAGAAAACAAAAATCCTCACCACTGGACCAATAAACAACATTCTTATCAATGGAGAAAAGATTGAAGTTGTTAAGGACTTCATTCTTCTCGGGTCAACTATCAACACTCATGGAAGCAGCAGTCAAGAGATCAGACGACATATTGCATTAGGCAAATCTGCTGCACAAGACCTTTTTAAAGTGTTGAAAAGCAAAGATGTCAGCTTGAGAACTAAGGTGCCCCTGACCCAAGCCATGGTACTTTCAATAACCTCATATGCATGTGAAAGCTGGACAGTGAATAAGGAAGACTGTAGAAGAATTGATGTTTTTGAGTTATGGTGTTGGAGGAGAATATTGAAAGTGCTATGGGCTGCCAAAAGAACCAATAGATCCGTTTTGGAAGAAGGGCAGCCAGAATGCTTCTTGGAGGCCAAGATGGCCAAACTTTGTCTCTCATACTTCAGATATATTGTCAGGAGGGACCAGTCACTGGAGAAGGATTTCATGTTTGGTAAGGTGGAGGGTCAGAGAAAAAGAGGAAGACCACCAGATAGATGGATTGGCAAAGTGGCAGCATCAATGGGCTCAAACGTGGCAACAATTGTGAGGTTGACCCTGGACTGGGCAGTGTTTCATTCTGTTGTGAATAGGGTCGGTATGAGTCGGTACTGACTCAATGGCACCTAACAACAACAACATCCTGCTGGAGTCCCAGTGGGGTGCAATAGGATAAGCACTGGACTGTTAATCACAAGGTCGGCAGTTCAAACCCACCAACCACTCCTTAGAAAACCTATACAGGGCCACTATAAGTCAAAACCAACTGGACAACAGTAAAATCCCACTAAATACTTGGCTGGCACCTGTTTATTTTTCCATACCTACTGCATGCATCCTGGTGTGTCGCTGTGGGTTAATGTGCCAGACTGCAAAGCTGTTTGAACTGCAAGGTCAGTGGTTCAAGCTCACCAGCTGCTCCTCGGAAACCCTATACAGAGTTGCTATGGGTTGGAACCAACTTGACCAACAACTGCGTGTGTCCAGGTGTGGCACTATAGGATAAGCCAGACTGCTAACCTCAGGGTCTGTGGTTCAAACCCATCAGCCACTCCTCAGTAAGCCTATAGTGGTGATGTGTCGTGGAGTAGTTTCTCATGGAGACACTGTATAGGTTTCTGAGGCTGTAAATCTTTACAGGAGCAGAAAGCCTCGTCTTTCTCCCATGTTGCAGCTGGGAGATTCGAACTGCTGGTCGTGGAGTTAGGACCCCAACTCCAAACCCACTATGCTACCAGAGTTCCTTTCAAGGACTCAATATAAGGTCACTATGAGTGGAAACCGACTGGATGGCACGTAACAGCAACTGTGTGCCAAGTCGTGTGCAGGAGTCAAAATCAACCGCCCCTCTACCCTATGCAGCTGGAATGAAATTCTAACTACATCTACAAACTACATGTCCGTCTCGTATTCATAACTCCTCACTCCTTTATGGTTTTAACTCGGGTCTAGCCCCATCATCCTCACTTGATTGGTGCGGTTATTTCCGCTTGGTTCCCGGGCTCCGCCCACATCCCCCTTCCCTAGCCTGCAGCAGGCAGAGGGCGCCCGTGAACACCTGAGTGAGGCCCATCCGTTCTCTGTCTATAGCTCTCCATGGTACTATCTCTCTAGGCCAGAGTCCTCCTCAATCCTCTCTGTGGTCCACAGGGCCCCCTACACACCCCGCCCCATTCTCTCCCTGCTTTTCCCTCCTCTGCTACCCATCTCTTCACTCTGGTCACATGGGCCTCTTCCAAATTGCCAGACCGGGTCCTGCCTCAGGGCCTTTGAATGTAATGTTCCCCTCTGCC